ACTTGTGCATGGCGGAGTTTGCTGCCAACAGTGTGCCATCAGATGCAACCAAGACAAGCGTTTTTTGCGTAACAAGGGCTATGAACCAAGAATGAGCTTCGATACAGAGCAGCAAGCATATCACGAAGCCAAAAAGAGCACAAGTACATAGCTCAGACCATGGCAAAGGTTTGGGAGTTTCTGCAGGATGAAATCACGCTCTCGCAAGCAAAAATGGAACATTTCGCAAACAAGAAAAGGAAACCTGCACCACGCTATCAAGTGGGAGACAGAGTATGGCTTTCAACTCAAAATATAAAGACACAGAGGCCATCAAAGAAGCTAGACCACAAGCAAGTGGGACCTTTTGAAATTCTAGAGTGAATTGGGCAAGTTGCATATCAGCTCAAACTTCCAAACAGCATGAAGATTCATCCAGTCTTTCATACCAATCTATTAAGACTCGACTCGAATGATGCAATCGAAGGGCATCAACAGGAGCCAGAGCCTCCAGTTATTGTCAATGGCGAAGAGGAGTGGGAAGTGGACGAAATCCTCGACTCAAAAGTTATACGAAAAAAGCTTTTCTACAAGGCAGCTTGGAAGAACTACTGTTAACCTCCTTAAAGCAATACAGTGGACTCGAATTGCATGGAACGATTGCATTACTAATACAACAATTCAATGCTACTTCGTCAAGTTAACAGTAGTTAAGAAACCAGTTGAGATTAAGGTTTGAGAGGCTGATGAAATTGCTGATCAAGAGGCCCTCCTTCAAGCTTAAATGGCATAGATACTAGAGGTTTAAGATCTATTGACAATTAAAGAATTTGTTAACCCTCCTGCTAAAGAGATCGATGATCTGGATGATGAAATAGAGACAATTATCGAAACTTACAGTCAAGATCAAGAAGATAATATAGGAGATGTTTACGATGGTCATAGAGGTCATGATGCCAGTCCAGGAAAAGTAATCTAGATTGAATCTAAAGAGAGAAGAAGAAGAAGAAGGAAGGAAGTGAGGCTATTCCTCATAACATACAGTTGTCTGCTTAGCGGTTGTAACCTTGGTGGCTAAGGCTACACCCATAATCCCCATAACAACCGTAATAACCATAATAACCGTAACAACCGTAACAACCGTAACAACCGTAACAACCGTAACAACCGTAACAAGCTGTGACAAGCTGTAAGCTATAATCGTAACACTACCCCCCCCCCCCACTAAGATTGATCTCCTGATCAAGAGTAAGATCATTGTGGCTTCTGCAGGTATTTTCGGTGGAAAGCTTGTGTGAGTTCAGGTACATTGTTGAAGTTTGTAGCAGGATACCAACTGTTGTCTAGTGGGTGGTTCTTCCATGCTGCCATATAGAACAGCTTCTTCCATAGGAGTTTAGAATCTAGGATTTCTTTAACTTCCCATTCAAGTTCATCTTCTATAATGATTGGCAGGGGTAGTTCATGGTGCTGGCCTTGTAAAGCATCATCTGAGTCAAGTCGTAAGAGGTTGCTATGAAACACAGGGTGTATCTTCATGCTTGGTGGTAGCTGGAGTCGGTATGCAACATTCCCAATTTGCTCAAGGATTTGAAATGGACCAACTTGCTTATGGTCAAGTTCTTTGAGGGTCGTTGGGTTTTGATATTCCGAGTAGAAAGCCAGACTCGGTCTCCTATCTTATATCTTGGTGCTGGCTTCCTGTTTTGATTTGCAAAGTGCTCCATTCAGGTTTGTGAGAGGGCGATCTGGTCTTGTAGGAATTCCCAAATATCTTTCATGTTTTGAGCTATGTCCTTATGTTCTTGAAGGGCAGTTTGGAACGTGCTATGCTCTATATCAAAGCTCATTCTTGGCTCGAAAACCTTGTTTGCAAAAAATGGGCTAACTTTTGTTGAGTCTGATGGAAGGGCATTTGCTGTGAATTCAGCCATGCAAAGATATTCAACCCAGTTGTCTTGGAGATAGTTGACATGAGCCCGTAAATATCGCTCGAGTTCTGCATTAAACCTCTCAGTTTGCCTGTCCGTTTCTGGGTGGAAGGCTGTAGACAATTTGATTGTAACTTTCCAAACTTTGCAGAGGATTTTCCACACTACAGCTACAAACTGGGGCCCTCTGTCTGAGATGATGGAATTTGGTAAACCATGGTGTTTCCATACATGCTGGAGTAGTAACCTTGCTGTAGCTTCTGCTGTAGTGCCTTCTTTACCTGCAAAGCATGGGATAAAATGGCGCTCTTTTGTAACTACAAGGATAGAATTGTTTCCTTCACATAATGGTAATCCTGTAATAAAAGAGTGATATGTCCTTCCATGGTTGGCTTCCAATTGGGATTGGTTGTAGGAGTCCATTATATGCATCCGGGTTGTTTTGATCTCTTGCAGATATGGCAATTCTTTACATATTGAGTGATAGTCTTGTCCATACGAGGCCAGTAGTACTGTCTCTTAATGATGCGAACCATTTTTCCAATTCCAGGGTGCCCCATTGCTGGCTGGTCATGAACTTCTTGTAGGAGTTTAACTTGGATGTCCTCTGGGATCCAAACTCGATTTTGGTAGAGTAAGAGTCCATTTCTCTCTTCGCAATGTGCTAAGGCTATACTTGGGCTATCTCGCTCGTTGTTCTGTAGTCTTCGGATTGTATCCTTGCATAATTCATCCTGGAGCTGCGCAGCTTGAATCTGGTCATGGATGCTTTGATCTTGTGGTAGGATTGGTGCAAGTTGAGCATCTTGTGCCTGCCCTTGACTTTTGAGTTCTAGCTGCTGTGCGAGATCCGGATGGAGTCTCTTAAGAGGTAATAGAGTTTGAAGCTGTTGTTTTTGACGGTCATCTTCTTCATTCCCTTCTGGTCTATCCCCTGGTCTTCGAGTTAATGCATCTGCTTTTCCGTTCTGCTTGCCAGGTCGATATATGATTTGGAAATTGTATCGAGAGAGGAATTCTGCCCATCGAGCTTGCCGCCTAGTAAGCTTTTTTGTGCTCATGAAATATTCAAGACTCTTGTGGTCTGACAAAACTTGTACTGGCATTGCTGTGCCCTCAACTTCTGGTCTCCATGCTTTGAAGCATCTAATGATGGCCAATAGCTCCTTGTCATAGATCTCGTAATTGCACTCAGCAATTATGTAGTAAGATAGCTAGCCACGCTGCGATAGAGGTTTCTTGCGACTTATTGCACCAGCACGAAGTAAGGTAGTATCGTGGGTAAGATAAGATAGCTTCGTGGATAGAGTTTCTGTGTCACATAGAACTGTCACGAGGATACTATAGCCGTCTGAGGCGTCTGCTTCTACATACGCTGTTTTGTCCCGGTCGAAGTGTTGTAGCACAGGTGCTTCTGTAACAGTCTTTTTAATTAGCTCAAAGGCTGCCTGGCAGGCTTGGTTCATTCAAATATTTGACCTTTCCTTGTGAGATTTACCAGTGGCTTCATAATAGTAGAGTAGCTTCTTATAAACCCTGGTAGAACACACAGAACCCAATGAAGGCTTGTGTATCTCGGAGCAACCTTGGTGCTTTCCATTCAAGTATAGTTTGGACTTTTGCAGGGTCCATTCTCATGCCATAGATTCCAATGATAAGCCCTAGGAATTTTGTTTCTTGGACATAGAATTCACATTTTGCAATGTCTGCTTGTAGTCCAGCTTCGCGGAGCTTCTGTAAAACCATTTGCACGTGCTGGGTATGCTCAGATCGATTTGCACTATAGATGAGGAGATCATCCATATATACTGTAACAAATTTGTTTATGTATTCCATAAGGGTTTGTTCATATATCGCTGGAATGTTGCAGGGCCATTTGTAAGGCCAAAAGGAGGACCTTGTACTTGTATGATCCAAATCTCGTCTTAAAGGTAGTGAGATCTTCATCCTCTTTTGTTTGCATACGGATCCGATTAAATGCATGACGAATGTCAATCTTTGTAAGATATTTGGCACCTGTGATCTGAGCCAATGTTTCATCGATGAGGGGTAGTGGGTATGAGTCTTTTCTTGTGGTGGCATTTAGCTTGCGGTAATCAACACAGAGAATCGAAGTCCGCCACCTGGTTTGCAGACGAAAAGGACAGGAGAGGCAAAGGGAGCTTTGCTAGCTTCAATAAATCCTTTCGACAATTGTCGTCAATATATTTCTTCACAAGATCAAGTTCCTCCTTTGACATGTTGTAAAGGGGCGCATGTCCTAATTTCGAATCTTGTTCTAAGACGATGTGGTGGTCTGCATATCGGTGAGGGGGGAGTTCATCTGCAGCCTGCTTTGAGAACACATCGAGATATTTATGGAACTCCTTTGGGAGGATCAGTTTTGGGTTGATTTCCTTCGCTTCCTCCTTTGCCTGTTCAGCGAGTATATTTTTAAATGATACTGCAAAAACCTTAGCTCCCTTCTGCTTCCGAAGCATATTAAATGGTGCGGCGCCAATCATTGCGACAGTGCATGTGTTCTTGTTCTTATAAGGAGGTTGGAGGGCTGGCTTCCAAGATTTGTCATCTTGTATTTGCTTATTGACTTGGGGCAATGTAGGTTTCGATTTGAGTATTCGTTGGTGTAGTGTGCTGGCAATGACCTTTAGTAAATATGACTTTGGTCATTTACCATATCAAGTATAAGTCCATGTTGCTTCATCCAAGCCTTCCCAAGAATGACAGAATGTTTCCCAAGAGTGGTGATGAATAGAGGGCATAGACTTTCAACATGGTCTTGGACCTGTAGGCGAGGGTATATAGCATGAGTGATGGGAGGGGCTGCTGTTCCATCAAAGCCTTGAATAGGGCGTGGCTTTAAAAGCTCTACTGGTGATATGCCTTCTATCTCACAAATTCATTCTGCATCAACAGCATTCACAAAGTTTCCTCCAGTAGCTCCAGTATCGATAAGGGCTTGTGCTTTGATTTTTGATTTTCCTATCATACAAGTAACTATGAATGGAGTATCTGGATCTAATCCAAAGCTTGAGGAAGAAGTTGCAATTCTGGCTGTCATGACACCTTCAGGGACGTCTTGTCTGAAGGTTATTCTTTTCCCGAAAGTGGAGCATCATAAGTGCTAACTTCGTGGACTTGAGCATTCTTGGTAGGACATTCATAAGCTCGGTGTCCAGTTTGCTGGCAATGGAAGCAGCGGCCTTCCTGCATTAGCTTCTCAGTTGCAGGGTTCTGATGTGGTGCACGATATAGTCTTGGTGGTCTAAAGCTAGCAGGTGGGTTTGTAGTAGGCTGCTTAGCCTTACTGTGAAAGTCTTGTGGCTTAAAGGCTTGCTGAATAACTCGAGGGACAGTGCGAGCGTCTTGGATTTGAAGTTGCTGGATATTCTGATCAATCAGTAAGCACTTTTGTGCAAAGGCATGAAGAGAGCTTGGGTTTATCTCTGCTATTAAAGCAGTCTGCATCTTCGTATTAACCTTATGGCAGAGGTCATCAATGAGGGTCTCTTCTGAGTAATCCAGTTCAACAGTGAGTCTCTGAACTCTGCCCAAAAGGTAGCAAAGTTATCCTTGTTTTAAGAGCTTTCTATAGCGCGTTGTGCAGTAAAGCGGCAGTCTGGATCACTGAAGACTCTGTCTAGGACTTCAAACATTTCCTCTACAGTTTGAAACTTGTTCTGAGTAGATCGAAGGCGTGGATTGATGTGAGAGGAGGCTTTGCCACCTAGTCTGCTTTGCACATAACCCATCTGAAGGGCTGGAGTAGGAAAATGGTCAAGGTTCGCCTCAAGCTTCATCTTTATCTTAATGCTCCAATCGTCATAAGCTGGCTCTATTCCCTCTGTGAGAGTAGGAGGGTCTGGGATCTTGGTGGATTTCTGGTGTGATTCTCTATTGCGAGTAGTGCTGCTTTTTGACTTCTCATTTTCAAGATATTTCACAACAGCAGCTTGTCCTGCCATTGTCTGCTCATGAGCTTGGATAACCTCTTGTAGCTGGCTGATATTGTCATCATATGTAGCCTTCTCCTCGACTCTTCTGGAGGGTAGTATTGTAGAGCTGGGTGACATGATCATAATCCTCCATCATCTGCTTTTGGATTTGAAGCGCAGCCTCTCTCTGGGCTTGGCTCCAGTGCTCACAACTGAGAGGTCTTTAAGCTCCCAAATGCGAAGGTAGCTTGGTGTTCTGGATCCTCGAGTAGTGTTTCCCTTCTATTGTAGGTGTGGCTTTCTAAGCAGTCCTCATTGCTTGTAGTAGATTGGGTTTCTTGTCCTTGATCTTGACTCCTGTCACGGATGACATGTCCTTGTGCATCGCGTGCCATTATAGCAGGCTTCGCTTCTTGTCCTTGGAATTGTCGAGGTCAGGATCTTCTTCTGACTTTGTCAGTATCAGGAACTAGACACGTATGTGGTGAAGGCCCTATTATGCAGTTGTCGGCCGTACGAGCCACTCAAGAGGAGCACACTTCTGTCACGGTTATATCCTTGTTGAGGGAGTCACGGAAAGGTCTAATTCTGCTGATATAATGTTCTGGGTTCTGATGCTTGAGTGTGGTATTGAGTTGACTTGTAGTTTCTGGATTTGATGTTCTGGTGTTCTGGTTCTGGTTCTGGTTCAATGTGTAGTTCTGGAATCGATTTTGGCTGTATTTGTGTCTGGGTTTTCTGGTTCTGTATCTAGATCTAGTTCTTTGCTAAAGAGCAATGTCTTGGTCTGAGTTTCGATTTCTGGTTCTGGAGGTTCTGTTGCTCGAAGTTTGTGTTGGTGTCTGGTTTGAGGGTTCTGTTGCTCGAAGGTTTGTGCTGGTTTCTGGTTTCTTGCTCAGGATGAGCTAATGAAGAAATGAGATTCAATCTTATGTTACGATGGTCATAGAGATCATGATGCCAGTCTAGGACCATCGTAACATAAGATTGAATCATACAGTTGTCTGCTTAGTGGTTGTAACCTTGGTGGCGAAGGCTACACCCGTAATCCCCATAACAACCATAACAACCATAACAAGCTGTGACAAGCTGTGAGCTGTTATTGTAACAGGGATGACTGTAATGGTGGGTGCACCAGATGTGAGAATCTTGCCACCCAAGGAAGGGATGAATTTACTAAGACAACACACTGTCTTAGAAAACAGAGCCAAAGGGTCGTAGCTTAGACTATTCCACAACGCAGCAATCAGGTGTGTGATGTAGTGAAGTGGTTCAGACAAGTTGCAACAAATGTTGAGTCTGGGAACTCAGGGGTAAGTCAGAGGTTAACACCTCACTGACTTTTCAGAAACAAGGAGTAACAAGATGAATGCTTGGAAGCTTGGAAAAGACGTGGAAGTATGTGATAGTCGATTTACTGTATTGTCTGCTTGCCCTTTCTTAAGGAAAGGGCAATCCTATTTATGCTAAAGGAGTGTAGTTTTCTCATTTTCCAAGACTTTCCATGATTACCAGGCTTGGTAACTGTAGTCGACGTAAGAGAATCCCATAGAACCATCTCTTAGGTTTGTAGCCTATAGGAAGTAAAAGGAGGTCCAAGGTCAGAGTACCCCTATAGACAAATTATGTCATAGACAAATTATGTCATAGACAAATTATGTCATAACTTAACCAATCTTGTGGGTAACTAAAGAGCGATGACATGTAATGAATCATAGAGGTTCGTAGGAGCTTTTAGAGCTATCGTTCCTCCTAGGCCTCTAGTTGGTAGAGATATGTCATGTGGTAGTATGAGTGATGTCATGTAATGAATCATAGATGGTTGTAGCAATCGTTGAGTAGTATTGCTCTTGTTGTTGGTGTGATAAGCCAAAATATGTATAGTGACTTGTAGGTGTGAGGAGGAGATTTCCAAGTTTGCTCTTGAGTTTGATAGCAAACTGAGTGCAACGAATGTCAGTATGACAATGACGTGTGTGGATGGG